TATGTATGTTTATATATATGGGGTTTTATGTAGTTTGAGATTTGTACGTCAGTGGATGAATAAGTTGTGAAGAAGTATATCCGTACTTTTTAGCTATCATTCGTGTCTTTAAACTTACATATTTGTACATATACAGACATTTTTTTCTATAACCATCATTGTTCCTTTCTTCCTGTTATATTATACAGTAGAATTAAGCGATGCTAGCATTTAAAGAACAAGTAATCCTACCGAGCCCTGGTGCGTTCGCCGTTACTATATTAATGCATCTTTGCTACAATCCCAGTAACTCTTTTTAACTTCAATATTTCGCTGCAATATTTTGTCAATACTCGGTTGATACGAACCACTGATGAATCAGTGATGAACAGCCGTGGGAGAAATTTCAGCTTAGTTGTCTCCATTACTGAGGAGTACTGTTCTCGACTATTGAGGATCACTGTTTATGATATTAGGGTAAGCAAGTTTGTAAGAGTGTGCGGAAAAACGTTATTCACACGATAAAAAAAAGGTTTTGGCGGGAGATTTTACGCCTCTGCATTAGTATCTTTACCTTTGTGGAATAAACAGAGGTAAAAAATTATGTAAATATTTACCATAGCCTTCTAAAATCAATACACAGAGGTAAATAAATATGTATTTACCATAGCCTATTGAAATCAAACAAGGCTATGTATGTATTTACATACATACGTAAATCAATTGGCATATCGATAGTTATGTTGATCACTGACACACGGGGAGTCACGAACTCACGAGTCACGAACTCACGAGTCACGAACTCACGACTAACGAGTGTCACACTGTCACCACTGTCGAATTTACACATAATCCAAGCACGACAGGAAAGAACAGTAAATATTTTATTTGTACAATGTACATTGTACAATTGTAAATGCAAAAATAAATAAATATCTCTTTCAGAATTCAGACTGCCGGTCTTCCCGGACTTTTAGAGATCAATATTTTTTGTATAGTGTTTCTATTTCTAAACCAAAAAATCATTAACTAGTGGAAGTCAGAACTGCCGATTGCCGAGTGCCGACTCCGAAAGTGACATTGCCATTTTATACATAGCCTACTAAATTATACAGCCACTGCTGTCTTTATTTCAAAAGCGAGTGAATCTGAGACTCTGAGGGAGGGTCAAAAGTCAACGACTCACCGCCCACCGGTCAACCGTCCAATATTTATTTACATACGTATGTATGATAGTTAAAACATAGTTACAAACACACGCGATCTACATAAAAACATTGAATTAAACGTCCCGCGGACTTGTCTGTCAGCCCTATTTTTTTCTTTTCTAGAGGGTCAGGATGAAACACGGGAAGCTTGTCCAATGAATATACCAGGTTCTTATCGTTGACATCAGTCTGTTTTTATTAATAGTTTTATGATTTTTTATCTGAAATCGGTATGAATCATAATTCATTTTACCCAATGAAACCTTTATGTATTGTAGAAATGACATTTGATAGGTTGACCAGATTCGCGCACACCCATATAATCTTATTTTACAACATTTATACCATTGTTGGCGTGTCAAATACTGTTTATGAGCCAGCCATGATTGAGCGAGCTGGAACTAAGTGAGTGACGATGTGAAAATCTTCAAAGGGGGGCAACCACCTGTTTTACCTGACGATATACTCAACATAATAAAACTTAGCCTCTTTCTAGCGTATATACCACTTTATACTACAATTGATCGATCACTCACCCCTTCTCTTCAGTTTTACAGCATGACTAGAGTGATCTGAGATTTTATCCCACTTCCAGATTATAAACATGCGAGGTGGAAATAGTGCATTTTGACTTGCCCATCATATTACAACCACTTGGAACCTCTATGGCTAGCACACAATTTATCTCCTATAAAAGCAGTTATCACGTCGTTTGTAGTTTTTTATATACCAAACAACCCGGACACATGCAAACCTATTTTACTTGAGTCTAGATATCGTAATAGTAAGGAATAGATTCCAGTACTGTGTACTGAACGTGAGCAAGATGCTCATTTACCTAAAATCATCAGCCGCTGTGGCACTCGTTCTTGTATCCACAGCCCTTCTACCCACAACTCGTAAGTTATTAATGTTCTGTTTCGGTGATCAATACGAGTATATATGCGATACTTGCACACTTGGCCCATGTATTTTTCTTGGTGTCAATAAGAGCTTGCTCGGTGAATCAAATATCGTCTGCGGCACGCATTCATAAGCCCCAAGCCATTTATAATATTGATCATACGTGTGTGAACATCTCTACCGGTATTTGCATTGATGTGGATGTATCAAGTTTGAAAGTACTGGAGAGCTGATGTTTCGATTTAGGAATAGATTGACTTGTTGCGACATCGAATTATCAAATCAAAGCGGCGGTTATAGTGCGCATCTCCGCTGATGTCTACAATGTGGTTTTAAGAATGAAAATCGCATAAAAAACACAATAAACCCCGTTCTAGGATCAGTGAACAGTGCTCGTAATAGTTATATTCCCAAACCAACTAGACATTGATGCACCCTGGCTCTGATTCGATCATATAGAACACCTCAGCTCGAGTTCAATCATAATAAATGATATTTTCAAACATCAACAGGTGCTGGTGGTCTTGGTGGTGTTGCCGCGGGCGACTCAAACTGTGTGAGCAGAATAATTAATTTCGAGAATGCCGAGGATACCCTCGATTGCAGTAATGCTGATAACAAAAAGATACCGAGCTCGTACGGAGATGAGATTGGAATCACATTTCGAATCACAGATCACGAGCACGGAAGTCTCACGCTTGATGGTGAAACCCTCCGCCCACAATTTGAGCGAAGTGGCAGTCAAAAAGGAGACGGTCAAAGCGGCTTTTGGGGAAACGCAAAAGGTTCTCATGATTCACTTGTGGATAGTGCCGAATCCATGGACAAGTATTTCTTGAGAACATATGCACTAGGTAGTGATGCCCTCAATAATGTGTTTGGTTACGTCCCTAGTCTATTTATTAGCTACACGGGTGATGGTACAACATCGGCTAGCGGTGAGATATATGACATTGACGGTAATGGGTATGCTGAGGGCCACGATTCCGCTCGACTTGAAGAATGGACTATGATCGCATACGATTCAGATATGAGAGAGCTTGGTCGCGTAGTTTCACCACGTGGAACCGTTGAAACAATCAGAAGCCAACATTCCACCAGAGTAGACGCCATGGGCAACTCTCTAAGAATAGATAAGTCAGGTCAAGTGTCGTACGATTCTACCAACTGGTACTGGGCCATCAACGCCAACAATGCTGTTATGTTCCCAGAGTGGCCGAATTGTGGTAGCACAAAGTGTGCAGTCAACTACATTGAGATCAGATACACCGGTGTATACCCAGCTGACAGGCCCTCATCCGTGGCTTTGGCTTTTGACAATTTTGCTGCATTTGCTTGTCTTGAGCACGAGCTTGAAATGCCCGAGCCCGAGGAATGGAGTGAGTGGAGTAAGTGGGACTCATGCGATGTACAGGATCTCGAGCGCTGTGGGCAAGAAGGCTATCAGCGCAGCACACGAACCAAGAACTTGGCTGACAATGAAGCGGCTGAGGAGTTGCAAAGCCGCAAGTGCGGCAACTGGGAGCCTTGTCCCCCATGCGGTCACGGCGAGTTCGGAGAATGGTCCGAATGTGAGTTTGAAACTTGTGGTTCGCTTGGTATCAAGACCCGCACCAAAGTTTCACTTCCCATAACGAACTACTGTATTCCCCCCGCTCCCATCACTGAAGAGGGTACATGTCAGGCCAGCACCTGCTGCCACTTGCCCATCGACTTCGAAGACGCCATCAAGGACAACTCACCGGTGGCGATTGACCGATATTTGCAGGACAAATACATCAGCTTCCGCTCCATCACAACCGACTGTGATGTCTCCGATAAAGCAGGTATTGATAGCGGTGCATGCGATGTGATAGCGCCAGGTGGCGCAGTCAGCCAGCCTCAGTTCGAGGCTTCGGCTCTGCAAGGCAATGACGGACGTTCTGGCTTCGTTGGCAGTGCATCCAAAGGCCGCGATGCGGTTGTAGATGCGTCTGTACCGCTGGACAACTGGTTCTTGCGCACATACGACCTGGGCAGTAAAACTTGGGACACGCAGGTTGGTTTCGTACCCACACTCCTCATATCATACAACACCTACACACTTGCTGCCTCCGGACACATCTACGACATCGATGGCAGTTCGTGGGACTCGTCCAAGTCGAGCACCCGCCAGGAACAATGGCGCATTACAGCCTGGGGTTACAAGGACGGTGAATACGTCGCGCTCAAGACCATTGACTCACCCCGAGGCAACAGTAACGCACTACGCTCATACCACGCAACGGCAAAGGATGCAGTAGGCAACCCACTGCGCATGAAAGTCAGAGGCGGTCGCGAGATTGTCTCATACGACTCCGCCAACTGGGAGTGGAAGTTTAACGCGGCAACGGATGAGGCTTGGCCCCAGTGCGAGGGAGACGTACCATGTGCAGTGAGTGACATCACCATCGCATTCATCGGACAGTTTCCTGAAGGCAGACCCACCTCTGTAGGCCTGGCATTCGATAACTTCGATGCCTTCGGCTGCAGCGATCCCGAGGCACCCACTCCACCGGAGCCTCCGGTGCCCTGTCAGATGATTGAGTTCACCAACGGCACAGAGTGTAGCACAACCGCATGCGGCACAGAAGGCACATACACCGACGCCCGCGAGTTGATCCGCGAGAACAACTGCTTCGCCCCTCACAATGTTCAGCTCACACGCCAGGGCAGCATCTGCCTCAACGATCCCTGCGAGTGCACGTACACCGAGTTCGACGAAGGGGTGTGCAGTGTCAACAAGGATGAGGACGGCTGTGGTGCTATCGGTGTATATATCAAATACCGCGAGGTCAAGTACCCCGGAAGCTGCCCCTACTTGGAGGACGAGACTGTGCCTGGTGCAGAGATGGAGCTCAGACGCAAGGAGAAGCTCGAGCAGATCACTACCGATGCATGCAGTGCCGAGCTATGCCCGTGCGATATAATGCCATTCGAAGGCGAATTCGAGTGCAGCGTGGTCGAGTGCGGCCTGACTGGCAGCTTGACTCGCACCACAGGCTATGAGAAGAACACGAGCTGCCTGGCAAACGATACCTTGTACGAGGAGTACCACGGAGTTCCCCCAGTGTTTGTCGAGGTTTCCCTTGAGACCTGCTTCACGCCCTGCAACTGCACGGCGGGTGAGTGGTCTGACCCTGTGTGCAGCACCGAAGAGACTACCTGCGGCAGTGTGGGTGTGTGGTATCAGACTCGCCTAGCGAATCCGGATGATGAGGATTGTATTGAGGACCATGTATCTACCTACAGAGAGGTGGAAAACATGGATGAAGTGGCCGAGTACAACGAGAAGTACGGTAGCTGTAGCGCTGCTCCCTGCTGCAAGCTGACCGAGTACTCTGAGCCAGAATGCAGCGCCACGGAATGCGGAATTACCAGCAACCCAAACAAGGGCACGCTCACGTCTACGCGCAAAATCGACACGTCGGTTGAGGGATGCATCAACGGTGACAACATCAACGCAGAGATCGAGTTCACGCAGACCCACGGCGAGTGTACCGCCCCGACATGCGACTGTGTGCCCAGTGAATGGTCCAATTGGGTGTGCTCAGCGGACGAGCTTGACTGTGGCAACACAGGCACTACCAGCCGCCAGCGTACCTACACCAACATTGACGAGTGCAAAATGCCTGAGGGTGCCCTAGCCAAATACATCGCAATTGGCGAGGACAACCGAGCCGAAGAGACTGTCCCTGGACCTGCATGTGCCACCGCTGACTGCTGTGCCTACTCTCCATGGGTAGAGACTTGCGAGGCAGCTACTTGCGGCGAACCTGGACGTCTGGTCAAGAGACGTACCTTTGACCAAGGAGGCAATAATGACTGTGCTATCCCTGATAACGTTGAAGAGGAATTGGTCGAGACTGGCGGTTCATGTGACCTGCGCATGGGTGACTGGACTGCCTGGTCCGAGTGCGAGTGCGGGCAAGAGAGCGAGCGATTTGCCTGCTACGACCCCGAGGCTTTGGGAGGCCGACGACGCCAGTCGGAGGGTGGTCTACAGCCATTCCCTGAGAGCAGACAGACACGCATGTGCTGCGAATGCACTGTAGGCACATGGAGTGAGTTGGCGGAGGTTAGTGCGTGCGACCAAGTCAAAGCCAGTGACTCGGAGAGTTCTACTCTGGTGATCGCATGCTCGCGCGCAGATGATACATCCGTCACCTTCACCGTAGGTGCCGAGTCAAGCACCACTGTGACAGAGCAGCCTCCAGCTAATGCCCAGGAAACCCTAGCCGAGCTCGATGAGCTGCTGTCGAGCCCAGATTTGACTGTTGAGGAACGCGAGCAAGCGGAAGCTCAGCGCAACACATTGAGGGCTGGAGTCCAGTGCTCGACCAAATGCAGCGACCTGGGCACCCAGGAGTGTACCGAAGATGGCCTGGCCCCTATCAACTACGCTCGCGAACGTGGTGTCGTTGATATCGGTATGGATATGTATTCTACTACGGATGTTTTTTGATACTTGCACACCGGCATATGCACAGGCACACGCACCAAACAACCAAATACTATATCACTTTCATATATGCAGCCACGTACGCACTAGCTCATTACTTGTGTGCTTCTTTCTCCTCTCCCTCGCGCAGTTGGTGAACCGCAATGCCCTGCGCTCAAGGAAGCGTGCCTGTGCCCATGTGAAGCTACTGGCGACGACAATACAGCCCTTATTGCTGGCTTGGCTTCGGCCGGTGCTGCGGTGCTTCTCGCAGCCGCAGGAGCTGTCATGTACTTCACAAACAGTGCAGGTGCCGCTCAAGCGACTGCCAACAGCGGAGACATGTTTAACGACCTGCAGAACCAGCACAACCCCATGTTCGAGGTATGTAGTATCTGGCGCAAGCGCAAAATGGTTCACTGCTATTGGGTTATGTTGTGTTTGGTGTTGTGTGTGGACTGGGAAATCATTCGATAAACACATTCGATAGTTATTGTCTCCCTATTGATTATCAACGATAAACACATGCCACATATCACTGACAAGGTTTGTATTCTTTTCACCTGCAGAACCCTACAAATGTCTTCTACAACGAGAACTACGCTCCCGGCGTCGCCCAGGCTTGAACTGTTACCATTGGAACGTGAACTACCGGTGTTAGTTCATACCCATCATATATAATAAGGAGAAAATAAGGAGAACGGGGATACATAATAAGAACGAGGATATAAGGATGGTGTGGCGGTGCACTTGCTACTACTAGTATGGACCCTGTGGGCTCACCTTGTAGCGGCATGCATTCTCATGCATACCTGAATGGTATACATTCACACATTCACACAAGATATATGGATACGTACGCCTGTAATACACACTTACGCAACCATCGTGTGGATATTGCCCGAAAGTGCATCGGTGAGAAAAGGAATTTGCCCCGCTCAGTGTTTCTGTGAAACACTCAGCAAGGTAGACCTGGCCTCCCGCTGAACGTAACCATGCTTGTAAAATAGAGAATATAACAAAACAATCATTACTTGGATAATGCGCATTTGACTTTGTACTTACTCCACAGTATACCACAGTCGATTTAAAAGTTCAATTTAATACTAAACTTTTAAACCGACTAATTTGATGCTAGGGTTATTTTCAGACCAACCTTGGCAGGATAGACAAATATTTGCTATTTCAATACAATATCACATTCAACATCAGAGCTAAAATGACAAGCATACCGAGAATTAACCCAAGTTGCAAAGGTAATTTGTGGTTCGCTTCCGAACAATGGTTCAAATACTACCACATTGTGATCCGTAATTGGAATAGCACAATTATAAATTTTAACACATGAATTCAATGACCAACACCACTCAACAAACTGAATTGTGTAGTTGCCAGTTGATATACTCGTCAATAATTGCTTATTGGGTTAGTTGGTAATGGTGATGTTGAAGGTCACGCGTGGCGATGAGACGTGTCGGTAACTCGATGGTGACTGCGCTGGCGATGCGTGATGTTCAGATGATATAATTTAGTTTAGTATTAGCTTGGTATATAAGTTTTACGTTCAGTATCGCGATCTTTTATATATCTTTGCATACCTTTATTGAAATAAAAATTCCTGTATGATTTTGGGATAGTCGTGAGCAGCGTAATCATACACGGCTTGCAGCAAATTGAATAATTAACAACTAAGCGTACAGGTGCCAAAGTATCCATTGTGTGTTTCCCATTTTTGAGATGCTTTCCGAGCATACCTCACTTCCTTCCTACCTTTGATTGAGGCATACTATCGGCTTATCTTGATCATCGACAGCCCTCGACAGTTGTGAATCCCCCGCCCCGCCATACCAATTCACCGGCATTATCAAGCGAATTATCAACATAGCATCACCAGGATCGTCACAGACAACTCAGATCAAATTGCTTATTAAGTAATCACTTCACATTGCCCCTCGAAGTATTTAATTCGCGACCAAATGGTTGGCATCGGCCCACAGTCGCAACTGGTATCACCGGATGACCGAAGCTTGCACACGCGGGCAACACTATGTATGGCACCGGAGTGGCGTATGTACTGTAGTAAACGGCCTAGCTACATATTCAGTGTATGCCTACTGAGGAAATCCCAAGGTTTGCTTAAGCGTCATCGGCGTCCTCCATCCCCTCAGCGCCATCACCATCTAAATCTTCATCGACGATATCTTCGAGTGCAGACTCGGCTGGCACTTCATCGTCAGCATCTGCCCTATCAACACTATCTTCCATTTCATTGGCTTCATGTTCTTTATCTTCATTAGCTGCAGTACCCTCCGCAGTCGATGCGTCACCTGCTTCGGCCTGTACCAATATTATTGCGTGTGTTGGAAACGGGAAGCATAGAAAACAGGCAGGATTAAGCAGGCAACGAATACGCGTGGGGCTGGAGCATGGATACTTCCGCGTGTTCGTCTGAATGGAGTCTTTCGTAAAACAAAAAAAATTGCACACAAATCCGTTGAATAAACTTGGTACAGTTTCAAGTAAAAATAAAGGCGCTTTATACACATATTTGCACATACTAATTTGTTCCGTGAAACGAGTCATCCCAGTAGACAGTTCCCCGACAAGATACACAAGCAGATACACATACAGAAGATACACTGACACATAATACGAAACAGATACACTGACACAAAATACGAAACAGATACACTGACACAAAATATGAAACAGATACAATGACACATAATACGAATCAGATACACTGACACAGAGACGATATAGATACACCAACACAGTACTACTGACACACTGACACATAATAATACGACACAACAACCAACTTTGTACACTAGCACATACCCCAACAAGCTCTCCGTCATCATCATCATCCTCACCGCGGCCGCTATCACTGCCACTACGTCTACGAGCACGTTTGCCGTTTCCGCTCTCACTCTCTCCTCTAGCACGTTTCCTGTCTGTGTTTGATTTTGAGCCTGCACGTGTACCCCCTGCAAGACCTCCACCGGGCCCAGCGTTGAGAATGTTCTGTGATCCTCCATGGTATTGTGCGTACTGTGATAAAGTATATGATATTGGTTCGATATTGGTTAGGTATGTGACAGGTGTGTGTAATGGTTTAATATGAGACATGAGGGATGTTCAGCGAACGTCTGTGGCATTGTGCGTACTGAGATGTGGTATTTTACAATGGATTCGAAGCCCTTTCCCAAGTATATGTAATACAGCAACGAACGTCTCTAAGAACACACATGCATGGATAGCCCGCCGAAAAGAATAAGTGGTCGCGAAATTGTCATATTCCTAGCAGAATACCTATCCTATTACTGATACCAGCACATACAGGTAGTACCATATACCAGTAATTGTGTTCATATGTGTGTGAAGCAGTGATTGCACGAATATATATGTGTAAATCAGTAACCGTACTCATTTAAGTGTAAATCAGTAACTGCACTGGGAAGATACAAATTTATAGGCGGGGGAGATCCAAAACCTACCCCTCCGCCCTAAAGATATAGATACATTTTCACTAAACTTATATAAATTTATATCTGTACGTATGTTGCATGAACACGCACGTGCACGTTCATCTACCTATGTATACACATTCATCAACTCTTGCTACCTACCTCCCTGGCCTGCGGTTGACCACCGCCGCCGTAACCACCGCGGCCACTGTCGAAGTCGTCTCTGTAGTCGTCTCTCACCTGCCCGCCTGATTTACCTCGTCCGTACTGCCTACCTTCCACAAACCCAGCATCCCAATCACATCTAAAAATAGAACGTGGCGGACCAATGAGAACACGTTTCTTAAAATAAAACACATGGCGATACGGGAAGGGATCGCAACTGCAAAACTCACATCTGCCGACTCGAGTATATGTAGTTGTGTATGACGATGAAAGCAAATGCACCGAATTTCACAAGCTTTCTCTTGCCTTGGTACCTAATTACACCACACCCTGCCTGGCCTCGTCTCACGCACAGTGCACATATCACATACCTAATAATTCGATCGTCTAATTTTGTTCCGGATATGAATTTGATACAATCTGCTGCATCCTCTCTCGTGTAGTATCTGTTCAGTGCGGAAATTCGAGAGAATTAGTCCATCAAGGTGGCAAATTCGTTCGAATAGGTGATTTAAATGAATAGAAAATCCTATATTCGAGGGTTTCGCAAGCAAGCTAGCCTCATTTGCAGTCTTCATGCATCTAATTGCACCCCAGGGATATATCTAGATCCACCAGAGCAACGCGATAGTAAATAACAATGCACAGGAATACGAAGGCAACTACTACTCCGTTCGGCTACAGTCATGTCGTCATACCTATTATGTATTAAAGACTACGCCACAAAGTAAACGCATACAGCGGCAGCAATGCAGAATGAGGAACAAAGTTTTAAAATGATGAGGCTAATCCCACATATCAGTGCAGAAGACATTAATGACAAGAAAAAAGGCAGAAACTGGGGAAATACATTTGAGCAGCCCTCAGCTCGTGTATAGGGCCGTGATAGCTGCCTTCACCCGGGTGCCTATCAGTGCTTGGAACGGTCTACATACAAGATATCCAGCTAGAATTGAATCTGGTTCAACGCAAGCAGAGCTGCAAACTTGGGACTCACTCTCGAATACACTACAGGCGGGCACAGAACTTATATTTACATCAAATCACTAATGATGTGCATGCATATTAACTCACACATACTCGAGTAGGCCAAACACTATGGGCGGTACAAAGCTTGAATAAATACACTCAATTCAGCGGAAACAATATGAGAGGAGGAGCAAAACTCAAATACATACACCCAAATCCAAACCACGTGGATGCATGTTCACACATACATACTCGATAAAGCAAAATCCACACGGCGTCTTCTTGAACCTATCTAAGCCCATAATGATGCGCTTGACTTCGCCCACCTTCGAGAACAACTCGTATACCTGCTCCTCCGTTGTATAGAACGACAAGTTACCCACGTAGAGTGTGCACGCCTCAAGAAGCTTCTGTTCTAGCTCTTTCGAGGACCCCTATGATATTGATTTGATAAGGCGGGGACACGAGATTGTTTAGCTATTCAGGAACTAACTTCCAAGTAAGGATGTGAATCTGCTACCTTCACATACCGAGATATTGTGAGAAAGTACAAATGGAAGAGTGAAGGCATAATTACATGAATAAGAACACACGTAAATACTTATAAACTCAACACTGCGTCTACAAAACGATAAACACTTACGAACGACAATCAAAACACACAGACCTATATACAGACACACATAGATCACTACAATAAAAAACACAGAAACACATACACGCATTTGTACGTAAGTATACACACAACAAACTGAAGGCGCTAATACGCACATAAGGTAAAAACATACTAAAAAACAAGCATACTGAAATACAAGCATACGTCTATATATATATATATATATACATGTGTGTGCGCGTAGTCTACATATAATAAAATGTAGAGTAACTATACATTAAGACATGTATAAATATATATATTTATGGATATATATATATATATATATTTACAGACATATATATATATGCGTATATATATATATATATATATATATATCTATATATATGTATATGTATACATAAATATATATATATATATATATATGTGTGTGTGTGTGCTTATTATTGTGTATGTGTGTGCTTATTATTGTGTATGTGTGTATATGGACATACATACATATACATTTACATATACATACAAATGTAAATATATACATATATATATATATATATATATATGTGTGTGTGTGTGTATAGCGACGCATACAGAGCATTACATACTGGTACACGCGGTCATATATATTTGTATTGTTTGACACACTGATTGGCATACTCGCAACTGTAAATATAACGCTTATTATCAGTATATGCGCGAAATGAAACTTGAACATGGCATTATTCTTACCGCATGTCGCTGATCTCGATAGTCCGACTGTAAATGCAGGGCCTTGACCACACTAACTCTATACAACGGGTAAGGGTCCTCTTTCACTTTCTTCCTATTAGATCTCCCGGGCGATCTGCTTCTACTGCGGCTTCTGGAATAGGATCGACTCCTGCTAATCCTAGACCGACTTCTAGACCTACTTCTGGACCTATTTGGCCCGCCACGTGACCTTGACCTACTACGCGACATAATACGGCCCCCTCTTCCATTGGGAGAAAACGAGCGTGATCTTGATTTCGAAAAACTACGTCTGTGCGCGCCGGAATATCGTGACCGACGCATAGGTGAACGTGACCGTGGCGAGCGTGACCGGTAAGACCGGGACCGAGATCGTGAATCCCGCATGGTGTGCGATGTTTGTTGAATGTTGTATATTGTATATTGTATATTGTATATTGTATATTGTATATTGTATATTGTATATTGTATGTTGTATGTACGTACCCTATGTATTTTGGTGTATACGTTGCGTTTGTTTAACGTGTGTTTACACGTATATAATTATGTATATCACCTCCGACTCCGAGTGTATTTCAGAAGTCATACATGGTGGGAACTAAATAGTATTTTTTTTGTAGAAAATATAGCAAAAAGGTTTTATGGCTGTAGTCAGTAGTGTCCAGTGACTGTGGGTCTGTGGCTAGCGGTAAAATTCGCTCAGTCGTGGAATAAATATATGAACCGGGGCCATTATTGGGCCTAGAAATCTAAAGGTTGTACTCTCTGTAAATACACCTAGTTTTTCCACCGGTATATCAAAAACTCTCGTCAGCAGGACGTCCAGGGCAAGGTCGACAGCGGGCAGGTCACAGGGGATTCGGCGAACACAAAGAGGCAATCGATGATGACTCATCCCACAACCGGCAACAGCTCAACCGCAAACCGTAATCGAAGAAATATCACAAAAACGAGTTTTGATTGACAAAGAATATCGCAACAACGAGGTTTCATTGGTCGAAACAGTACTGAGCGAAAAATTAGGTACACTTCATCATCACAAATATAGTACTTTTGCTATACAAATAACTGTATTTAGGTATTTAAATTCATACCTCCGCCGCTATTAATGCAAATTGTATGTGTACTTACTTTGCGCTTGCGTGTAGAATTAATCACAAATATAACACACATATAGACACTTAGCGAGTATGGGCGAGTCTAGTATGCGTCAACGAAAAGCTGGCAAGCAAGCGTATGTGAACGATTTAACGATACACTAAATAACTTGCGTAAAATAT